TTTTTAATTTTAAAAAAAAGGTAGGCTTTTAAGCTATGAGGTTATCTTTTTCCAGCTATGGCTTTAGTTATTTGGTTAAATTTTCAATCTACATTTTATAGATCTTCCAATTCAGATTTATAATTTATCTTGCATTCTAAAGAATCACATGCCTTCTTCTCCCATGAGTTGCAGTTACATTTTTCTAGCATATAAAATTAAATATTTTAGATTTTTTGAAATAATATTTGAGACTTTAAATTATTGTTTGCTGATGCTTTGGACAAAAATGATTACTTTTAATATGATCGTGTCTGATAATGTGTAAACTTTCATCAGAAGAAGCCTGGTTAGGGAAAATTGCAGTTAGCTTCAACAATACTTAAAGGAACCCAGCGGAGAAAAACAGTAGAAGTGAGTCTCAAAGGCTCCTCGTGAAGATATTTCTTAGAAAAGATTCGGAAAGGCTATCTAGAAAGGTAAAGATTTGACCTTTTCAGGTGGCTCTTAAGATGTCACAATACCCTCAAGGTTGTTTGTCCCAGCTGCTGTTTCCCAGAATCAGAATAAATGAGTGGCCTGAAGAAAGACATGTATTGCTATCATGACAAACTTTGCATACTTATTGTTCCAAAACATAGAATACATCCAATTAGCCACTCGTGCAGGGAAAAAATGAACTATGAAGAGGAAGAGGAAAGACACCACCATTGCCATGGTCCTCTTGTGGGCCTCTGCGCTGGTGTCTCAAGACTCCAGGGAGCTGAGCTCCTAATTTCTAGTGTGTCTCACCAAGGACAAGAATAAAAGGACCAGTGAGGTCAGGGAAAGAACCAGGGGGATAAAATAGGTCAAGCTAAGCAAAGCCAGGTTTTTAATATAGACAGTTTGACTTTCATCAATATATGAAGTCAGATTACTTTTATCTATCATAGAGGTATTCAACCAAGGATCAGCAAACATTTCTAGCAATAGGAAATCGAAAATCATTAAGAACAAAGAAGAAATAAGAAGCACAACAATCACTCTGTTGATTCTCCATCTCAGTCAGACGAAAAGGGGGTGGGAGAAGTGGATTCTCTTAAAGAAATAGAAAACCCTGGCAGGTGGCAAGCCAGGCAGTCAAGTGATTAATTATACTCGAAAGCATACTGATAGGTTTTCCTAGTATTTAAGGGTTATATAACTATGAATCTAGTCCCAATATGCATGACTCAAGCAGTGACAACAACAGCTGACTGATTCTGAAGATGGCCTGTCCCGACCCACGGGGTAGTCAATGTGGACCCTGGAGGAGGGAGTGGGAATTGGGAGAGGCAGGAGACACAAGAAATGGAGACAAGACAGGAGTCTGATCAAGTCTCGTTTATTGGCAGTAGGGCAGAGGCTTAAGTAAGGCAGAAAGAGGAGGTAACAGTAAAGGGGCGGTGCTTTCCGAGGCTCTGGCTTTCCAGCCAGAGGATTTCCATATAAGGAAACCCTCAGGGGCTTTCAAGGGCTACATAGTTATAATGGGTAAATAGAAACTTACAAGCTCTTTCGTGGGCCTTTGCAAATGCGCGGGCTTGGTAGGCCATTTTAGATAAGCAGGCAGATCCACATGGCTCGCGGCCATCTTGGATAAGCAGCTGCCGGGCCTCATGGCTCCGGACAATGGCCAAGCAGGTGAGGATGAAGTCAGCTGAGGAGACATCTGGTTCTTGACCCACCCAGAGCAGTTGACCAGTGCAATGAGCATATGCCCCAACATTTTGATTATGAATTCTGCTCTTGCCAGGATCAGAAAGATTTTATCCTATCTAGTAAACATTTCCACGGAAGAAAATCTAAATTTTTAGTACTTAGTCTCATTAATACATTTGCAATCAAACTGTTACAGAATAGCATGCATTTCTGAAAGTCAAGTATGCTAGCATGCAAATATGAGCGAGATTCCTTTTCACCAGTTTGCACTTTCCTCCTCAGCTGAAACACTATACCATTTGGATCCCAATACCTTTGCTGTTTTTCACAGAAAGCTCTAGAAATAACCTAAATAATTCTGTTATTCTTCAATGAATATATTTTGTGGGAGCCTACTATGTGTCTGACATTGTGCAAATGCAAGATATTAACATGTTTAGCACTAAAAAAGAAAACACTAAGAAATCTATATAACAGTAAAAGCAGAGGAAATGAGATAGAACCAAGAATAAAATGTGAGTGTAGAAAAGGGAACTATTAACACCATTGTCAGGAAGAAAAGGGAAGGTAATATTTGTCTTGGAACTAGAAGATACTTAGAATGTCCTGAGGAAACAGCCAAGTCATATTTTGGACTGAATGCATAATATACCAAAGACACCTAAACCCAAACTACTTTTTTGAAATTAAAGCTCACTACCTGATAATTTACTGAAATTTCTGTCTAAATTTTCTTGGGTATCTCAGAGTAACATGTTGAAAATTAAACATGTTCCTCAATTTTCCTTTTATGTTGCATATATTTTGGCCAGAGATATAATGTTATCAATTTAGCCTTAATAGACAGTTAGAAAATTGTTTTACAGAAAATAAGAAAACAGTACACAGGTGAGTCTGCTCTACATTCTAGGAACAATGATTTTAACAAAAACCATTCATGTATCAGAAATAAAAGCAGAGTTACAAACTATGTGTCTTGGCTTATGTGTCAACAATCAAATATTCAGTTATCAGTAATTAGTATTGAAGTGTTGCCAGGCAATGATAACAAACAAAACAAGAATGAATTTATTTTAAAAACTTGGCCCTTTTCAATATTGCTGCCAGACTCCTGAATTAAAT